GTTTGGGAGGGGGGGGTAGAAACTGGAGAATTGGGCAGGTGGTTGGTGGTAATCCAAATGCTGGGAGAGTGGAGAGCCCCGCGGTGTGCGCTTCTCCCAGAAGCGGGTTCTACTATTATTAGTTTGTTATAGTAGACTATTATAATATTATATTATATTATTGTGATCTTGAGTAAACTGTCAGAAACCCCGACCATGTAGCCTACTGAGATCAAATCTTTTGATTAATTCAAATGTCAGATAAAGTCGTTTCTATTTTTAAATTAATCAAATGAATATTTGGAGTGATGTTCTTTTAGTCAAAACACGTTTTATGTTTACTGTTGTACCTTAGTACTAAGTATGCCTACTGTATTGTAAAGCGCTCAGAGCCTGTGTACTTTAATCGGGATTGAGTGCAATATAAATGTCATTTATTATTTATTATTAGGCTATCTATTACTGGGGCGGTTCATGAACGTTTGAAAGTCTTCAGCTGCGTTCTGGTTTTGATTCAAACGGGTTGAGGTCGTTTAAACTGGGATTACTGCAGAGAGTTTTAAAAATTCCGGGGTTGTTTTTTTAGGGCTACTTAAAAAAATCTCCATACAATATTTTATTTAATACTGAAAAATTCGTCAACGTTGAAACTGCGGTCTACAACTTTGGATGCCCATGTCTCCCCATACTGTTCTTTTGTGATCTCATCCAATGATACGTTTTCTTTAGATCTGTAACTAATTTTATTAATTTTTTTTTAGATTAGAAAGTCGTTAGCCAAGGCTAAGAGTCGTTGCACTGTGATTCATTCCCATAACAACATCGTACAGTACTTACTTTTAAAGACAGCAAATCATTGAGGCAAAAGTGATTATCAGTTTTCAGTTTGTTATAACAGTTTCGACAGTATACCTATTGCGTATTACACAATACTGGTGTGTATTCACTTTTGTACTTCAAATAATTGAATTCTACGTCGATGTGTTTTTTTTCTTGTTCAGGCACCGACACAACTATTAAATTATGTCAAATGTGGGACTCTGGAAGTATTTCTTACGAGTACAAGGATGCAACCATCATTCAACTGTACAAAAACAAAGCTGACATGCATTCTTCAGATGATCACAGAGGTGGTAAATCCCTCTTGTCTATAGCCAGTAATTGTTTTTGTTTTAGTAGAGGTTTTACGGCGCTCGCAACTGCATAAGGTCATATGAGCGCCAGAAGATTAGATGTGTTACAAGAGTAACAAACATAAAAAGAAGGAGGGGGAGATAAGGATGATAGATCTACGTTTGAAAGGACATAAGAACCAAACCACACCAGAGCACCCGCCAACCACCCACATAGCCAGTAAGATAGTCCTTGCCCGAATCGTCTGTTGAAACAATTTAATATCTTTTGAAAGTCATGCGTGTGACTTCCGCGCCAAAGTGGGCACAGAGACATGATCTTTGCCACCTGGCAGATCAAGGAAATGTGCGTAGAGCTGAATAAAAAGCCTTATACTATACATAGGGTTATTTGTTTGATTGTCTGTTTGTTTGTTTGTTGTTATTTTTGTCTGTTTGTTTATTTATTCCGTTCGTCGGGAAAGCTTATAATATTATGGAAAACCCAGGCGAAGTATGATTGGCTTCCATAGTTCATTACTGTGGTTCACCATGGAGTTTAAAACAGGGCTGTGTGTTGGCAACAATACTTTTCTGTACCATGCATAAAGCATTCCACTGGAGTCTGTGGTGTAGCCGTTAGGTGCTTTGCTGTCACACGCAGGGGACCTGAGCTCGATTCTTGAGTGGGGAGAAACTTGTGTCGGGTATCCTGGCCTTTCTGCTAGGATTATGTAGCTGGGTTTGTCCTGAAAGGCTGGGTCGGGTGCTCGCTTCCTAAATAAGCTAAATCGTACCAATGGAAGCGTAAAAAACACCTTAATAAAAAAGTAAAGCATTCCAAAGCTCATATAGCTGCCGGTGTGGATATCAGGTAGGCCTACGGAAAGGACGACAAAGTCTTTAATTCCCGAAGGCTACAGGTAAAAACAAAGCATGGCATGATGACTAACGGCGAACTGATATTATGCCGATGATTGTGCATTATTTGCTTATGCAGAACCTGACATGCAAAACTGTTTTGATCTCTTTTTGAATGCATGTAGAACTTGGGACACGTAATAAGCACAAAAAACATAAAGTTCTCTCAAAGCATGTCCCGGGTGATAGGCTACGCAGATCCTCCCTCCTAAAATCAAAATAGGCCCCCTACTTATACACAACACAGAACAATGTTTATTATAGCTTCAGTTATCTTGGCAGTAGACTTTCTTCAAATGCTCGCATCAATGCAGAAAAGGCTTTACGCATGAATAGGCTTAAAGCTAGTGAACCGTTTGGGACTGTTGTGGCATTCGCACATACACAATAAAGTTGAACGTCTACAATGTGACCCTCCCAACCTTGTTGTATAATATGGTGCCTCGATCTGGATGGTGTAGGCCTATCAATTAAAGCCATGCCAAGAATTAGCTTAACCGTTTTAACATCGACATGCTTCAGGAGATTTCTTGGTTTCAAACGGCAGGACAAAATACCAGACACCGATGTTCTCAAAAGGGCGAATGCCGCGAGAGTCGGTTTTCTAATCTCAAAAGGATTGAACTTCGCTGCCGGGCTTGCTGTGTTTTTAGCCTGATTTCAGAAACCCCAAAACAGTGTATTATATTCCATTCTGAACTGTCCTTCGAGGCGCTTAATTTAAGCGCACCAAAAGAAAGCATAACAAAGACACCATGAAAATGTCTATGAATGACTTTAACATTAGTCTTTCGATATGGGAGAGTTTAGCGCCCAACAGACTGAGCTGGATTTGGGGAGCAGCAATCACTGTGGGCAGCAAGTCATTAAGGCTTCACAAATAAGAAATGTTGAAACCAAGAGAAAATACCGCAGGTTGCACACATTAATGTACCCGACTAGTAAGCAGTGGAAGTGGAGCTTTCAAATGTTCAAAAGGTGGTAGCGTTTTATCTGCCAGAATTGGTATCATTGTCACGATGACTGACACGATCAGCAAAGCCAACCCTTTCATGGACCCTGGAGAGGAGGGAGGAGCAGCGGACTGCCTGCGTCGATGATATCTATTCTACAACCAAGTAGGCTAACCAAGAGCCTACTGTTCTCCTATGCGGATGCATTGGTCATCGTTTAACAATAATGATAATTAATAATTTAATAATAGGGCCTACTACTACTACTACTACTACTACTACTACTACTACTACTACTACTACTACTACTACTACTACTACTACTACTACTACTACTACTACTACTACTACTACTACTACTACCACTACTTCTACTACTACTACTACTACTACTACTACTACTACTACTACTACTACTACTACTACTACTACTACTACTACTACTACTACTACTACTACTACTACTACTACGGCTATTAATAATAGTAACAATAACAACAATAATAATAATAATAATAATAATAATAATAATAATAATAATAATAATAATAATAATAATAATAACAATAATAATAATAATTATAAAAATAATAATAATAATAAAAATAACAACAAGAACAACAACAGCAATAACAACATATAAAAATAATAATTAATAGGCTAATGATAATCATCATCATCATCATCATCATCATCATCATCATCATCATCATCATCATCATCATCATCATGATAATAATAATAATAATAATAATAACAACAACAACAATAATATTAATAATAATAATACTGATAATAATAATAGGCCTAGTAATAATAATAATAATAATAATAATAATAATAATAATAATAATAATAATAATAATAATAATGTTATTTTCCCGAAAGTAAAATGGTGAACGCTTTTTTAAACGAAACTTTGTTTGCATCCTTGAACTTCCGCTCGCTACTCGCTAGAGGTAAATTTACCGCAAAAACTAAGCTCGCTGAATGTAGTGCTGCGACGAACTGCGAAGAAAAAGCAATCGAACCTGTTGCCTTGGTCTTGGTAAACAGAGAGTTGTTAGTGGTGAGTTTGTTTTGCGTGTTGGAAGCTCGTTGTTGAATTTTTAAAAGCATGTCTATTCATAATTTCTTTCAAATTGTTGGATTCTACGTGCTCGACTGACTTGTTGATGGACCCTGCTGGCCCTGAAGTTCGGATAGAAACGACGAGGGTATCGAAACGAGTGCGTCGCCGTGAGAGATGATTTGATTAATTTAGCCCGGCTTGCTAGATCTAGATCTAGATCTAGATCTAGATTTAGATCTAGATTTCTAGATTCTAGACTAGGTCTAGATCTAGGCCTAACTAAGCTACTTATGATGTTGGAGTGAAAGTGTTGTGTTTTTTTATTTAAAATGGCCACATAAATTGTCGGCCGTCGTTATTCATTGTCATTGCTAATCAATGTGTCGCTTCCAGGTTGGACCGTTAGGACACACTTTCACAAGCATACTTCTGGTCCCTAGCTGTTTTGACACAATAGCTGGGATCCACCACGGAACTTTGTCGTTCCGAGGTCCGAAGTAAGCGGCATATACTGGAGTTGCCACATGATAAGAATGCACACACCCTTCGACATAGGTGAGAGTGGTGCTACTGCTCTTGCCTGAATTCGAGCTGCTTTCTTTGAGCCATGTGTGGCGGAGAAGGTTGCAGGACGTCAATGAGTGATCTCATTTGTCTGCCATTGAGTATTTCACTTGGTGACAAACCACTCGAGAGAGGAGTGCGCCTGTAAAAGCCATGAGGAACTCTTGCAGAGCTGCTTTGATTTTGGGTGGAAGAGGTGATTTCTGAAGAGAATTCTTAAAACTCTGAATTAGGCGTTCTGCAGCTCCATTCGTTGCGGGATGGTATGGGACTCCTATGAGGTGAATGATACCCCTTTCTTGACACCAGGTCTGGAATTCATCTCAGGTAAAGGAAGTTGTAGCGTTGTCACTGACGATGGTGTGAGGAAATCCGAAGTGTGCGAAATCCTCTTGCAGGAGATCAGTGGTGGTTTTGCTGGATGTTGACGATGTTCAATGAATGATTGGATACTTACAGTAAAAATCGATCAGTACCAACCTGTTGTGTCCCATGAATTTATTGCATGATCTATGTGCACCTGACTCCATGGTTTCTCCGGTAACATCCAAGGATGAATTGGTGCCTTCGAAGGGTTGTTTTGATGCTCATTTCATGTTTGACACTTATGCAACAGAGATCCATGATATTGGAGTCTATTGCAGGCCAGTGTACTGCAGTTTGTGCGAGTTGTTTCATTCGTTGTTTTCCAAAATGTCCTTGGTGAAAGATTTGACTTGTTGCTACAGACTGTTGGGAACGACAAGCCTGGCTCCATAGAACAAGCATCCTGCCTCTGATGAAAGAGAGTCCTTGATTTGCCAGTATGCTTTCCGTTCTGGCAAGAGTTGTGACTGAGACAAAGGCCATCCTTACCTGCAATATCTCATCACTGTCGAAATGTTCGGGTCCTTCTCACTTTCCTTTTTCTCGACCCCAGGATCAGCAGGTGTGAGTTGACAACTGATGGTTTTGATGGTGCAAACAGAGTCCATGTCCGCACCTTCTTCTTTCATATCAAAGTCTGTGTCTGGTCCGGAAGGGAGACGACTAAGCGCATCTGCATTTCCATGTTGAGATGACTTTCTATACTCAATGTCATATTCATACTGACTGAGCGTCAGTGCCCATCTAGCCAGACGATTTGCAGCCATTGTTAGTGTTCCTTTCTTTGGACTGAAGATTGTGAGCAAAGGTTTATGGTCAGTGATGAGGGTGAATTTTCTGCCATAAACGAACTGGTGGAACTTTGACAAAGCAAAAATGATCGCCAGAGCCTCCTTGTGAATTTGGCTATATTTCCTTTGTGTTGCTGATAGTGTTTTGGACACATTGGCGATTGGACGCTCACTGCCGTCAGGGTATCTGTGGAAGAGTACTGCCCCTAGGCCACAGTCTGATGCGTCACATGAAATTCCAAGATCCAGAGATGGATCGAAGTGAGCAAGAATCATGTCTGTGCACAAGAGATCTTTCACATGCTGAAATGACTTCTGTTCTTCCGCACCCCAGCACCAAGGAGTGTCTTTCCTTGTCAGGCGGTGGAGCGGGTCCAGGACCGTTGACAGATTTGTTAAGAATTTGTTATAGAATTGGACCTGTCCAAGGAATGCACGCAACTCTGAGACTGAAGATGGTGGCGGCATGCTGATCACAGCATCCACCTTAGGTCCTCTTGCTATACCTTCATGTGAAAGTCTGTGTCCAAGGTACTGAACTGAGCGTTTTGCAAATTCACATTTTTCGAGACGACAACAGAGTCCTCTGTCCTCAAGCTTTTTGAAAAGTGCTCGGAGATTCTGAAGATGATCATTTTGTCCATCACCTTTTGAAAATAACCTGGTGCGGAGGTGATTCCAAATGGTAGACGTTGCTGTAAAAGCACCCCTCTGTGAGTACCGAGGGCGAGTTTCTCCTGAGAGGCTGGGGAGAGTTGAATTTGATTGTAAGCTTCTGCGAGATCGATCTTGCTGAAGTATTGGCCTCCACCTAATTTTCTCATCAGGTCTTCTGGTGATGGAATTGGATGTCTATGAGGTGCTAACTGGGGGTTCACTGTGACTGAATAGTCACCGCAGACTCTGATTTGTCCTGTCGGCTGACCTTTGGAATCCCTTTTCCTTACTGGGACTACAGGTGTTCCATAGCTGCTGAATGTGGTAGGTTTCCACACCGCTTTGGCTATTCCTGCATCATAGGCTGCTTCCAAGTCCTCCTGCAGTGCAAAAGGAACTGCACGTAGTTTGCAGAAAATTGGTTTAGCATCTTCTTTGAATTTGATGTCCAACTCAAATTCTTTCAGTAACCCTAGCTCTTCTGAGAAAAGATTGGGAAACTCTGCACACAAGTCTTTGCATGCTTTCTCTAAATTGCTATCTGAAGTGACTGGTTGCACCTTTTCTAGTTTCTTGATGCCATGAAGAAATTGATCAACAGAAATGTTCAGTTCTTTCATTCCTGATCTTCCCATAATGTTCAAATTTGGCACTTTGTCACTACAAATGAAATGTGTTGAGGCTTAGAGTCTTCTAGTGCTAGAGTCTCTTGAAGAAAACCGAGGGTGGAAAGTGAGTGCTTTGTGGCTGACTCAAACTTGCTTGCGACGGGCTGAAGCTTTGGCCTACCTAAAAGATTCCAAGTTTGAGAAGAAATGAAATTTTCACCTGCCCCTGTATCCAGTTCAAATTTTACAGTTTTGTCTTTGATTTTTCCATCAACCATCAAATGTGGAATGGCCTTGACCGTCTTAACTGTTGAAACGGTTTTTATCTTCTTTGTCCCATCTCCTCCTGTGGATTTCTGCAAACAGGCCCTTTCTATGTGACCCGTCTTCTTACAATAATGGCAAACTGCTGTTTTGAAACGGCAGTCTTTCCCTGGATGTTTGTTTCCACATCTACCACATGTACCTGCTGGAAAATCCCTCTTATTTGCTGTAGCAGGGGCTGTTTTCTTTGGTTTTATGTTTGGATATTTGTATTTCTGGCCTTGCTGATTCTGACGTTTCACTTTGTGCACTGAGTCTTTCTCTCCGTACACCGTTTCCTTCACGCATTTTGCTGCGTCCTCTATCTGGCCAACAATCTCGATTGCCTTTGCAAATGTCAACTGGTCATCTTTCATCTTGAACAATGACTTCAATACAGCCTCGTTGTCAAGTGAGCACATGAAGCGTGTACGCATGGCTTCGTCCTATAGATTGGTAATTGAAGGAAAATCACAAGTTACTGCATCCTGTCTGATTCGTGCAGCCAGTTCTTGAATGGTTTCACCAGGCTTTCTTCTCATCTCTGACCAGAACTTGTATCGTTCCCGGACGATGAACCTCTTGGGATGGTAGTACTCTTTCATGAATTCCGATACCTCATCGAGAGTTAATGAATTGACATCTTAAGGGGGGTTGAGCTGTTTGGCCATATTTTCAATTATCTTGTAGTTTGTAGTTCATTGATGACTGGTTAGTGAGAAACACTTTGGCTTGTTTCTCTTTGGGCACTGAATGTGCTGAGACAAAGGTTAAGAACCTTGAGTAGTAGTCGGTCCATAGTTCAAATTTTAGGTCGAAAGCCGCAAAATATGGGATGTAAAAAACTGTCGCAGTATCACCTTGTCCTTGATGGGATGACTGCTTTGTCATGGCTAATAGTGCTTCCATAGAGGCACGGTGCTGTTCCTGTTGTAATGCCATCTGTTCTCTGAACATTGTCATGAGTTCTTTCATCGATGACTCAGACGCCATGATGGAAATATGCCGATATTGCTAGCTTAGGTCTGTACATTGTGTGAATGGACGATTCACTTTTAATTCAAATTGAAGTGTATTGTTTGATGGTCCAGGCTTGCCTGTCCTTTCTGCGTAGAGGTGACTGCTCACCAGTTATGCTTCGTAGGCGGAGCCACTGCTAGGAGCCGCTAGCATTGGTGTAAGAACTCCCCTCCACACAACTGTCTTTGGACAGTTCTCCACAGCTTTCCATCTCCCCTGTGGGCACGTTATGGCCTTACACAAACACTCATCAGGGTCTGCATTTCTTTAGAATGCGATTCACCATAGACGGACACGCAGCCACTACTCAATCAAAGCTCCAGTGGCGGAAGGAGGAATTTCAGTATCAGATGTGACAGTTCCAGAAGCGTCAACAACCCTCAGTCACAACCAGAACTACAAGAAGGTGCATCTGGCGCTGGACTCAGTTTCAACAATAATGGTCATCATGCCAACAGGGGAGATGGAAAGCTGTGAAGAAGTGACATGTGCAACTATACGTGACGCACGGGAGAATCATAGATCTATTGACAGGCGCGATGCCAGTTAACAGCCACTTGCTTTAGAATAACGATGACTAAGGCAGGGTGACATATTTCACTTCTAGATCTCTAGATCTAGTAGTCTAGTTTAGTTTAGCATGGGTGTAGATATAATGTAGAGTGTACGTAGAAGAAGTAAGACTGCTTTCTCTGGGAATTTTCCTCTTTGGAATATCATTTTAATTGGACTTGTAATATCACACATGATGTCTCACAGGGTAGTGAATTTTAAGTCTGAAAATACAGTAGGTTAGGCTACTTGAGGACTTTTCAGGCAGAGTCAAACTGAAAATGTAGTAAACCTTTTATACTTTATACCCATTTTTAAACCATATAGGTCTGCTTTTAGTTGTCTAAAGTGTTCTATATGTTCATATTCTTTTGTTACGTATTGTTTCTTCCCTTTGTTATGTTTTTCAGGGAATGGCTCGAAGGGGCATCAAAAGGAAAGCACCTGACCTGGGACGTTTGGTAACTATATTTGAGCCTTGATTGAAAATTTTAGGCCTGAGGCCAAAGTTGCTTCATGTTATACAAAGAGCTGAAAATGAAGTACTTACTTACTTTTACTTTTTCATCCTCTGTTGCCGTTAAGCATCGAGGGGAGATGCAGTTTTCTACGGTAGGCCAGCTTCGCAGCTCTTTCAGGTGTTATGTTACTAGAATATTTTGATAAGTTTAGAAATCATTTGTAAACGTTGTGCTTGCGTGTTTTTTGGCTCAAGAACACCTTGTATGTCCATTTAAAAACATTTTTATGTGTGTATATTATGGAAAAACGTTGATTAAAGGCATGAAAATTTAAATTTGCAGTTTCCAAGGACTCACCTTCTTCAATCGCCAATATCTCAACTTCTATTCAAGAGAAATGGATATTTTTTTCATCAAATGCAAGGCAAATGAACAACCTTTAAGTTGATGCCAATAACTCCATGTACCCAAAAATTGATGCGATGCGTACCTGATCCCACTACGTCGTGACAAATATTATTTCGCGCGCTCATATGACCTTACGCAGTTGCGAGCGCCGTAAAACCCTATACTACTACTACTACTGACAAATATTATTTACTTGTTTCTTCTCAGCCCAGCCTTGATGACTACGCCCCAACACTGTTCATCAGGTGTCACAACCAGAAGGACGATGATGATGAGACAAAGATTTGGAAATGTGCATTTGAACCGTCCCTAGAGAATCCAAGTAAGAATCCAAGGACTTAAAGCAGCTTTCACAAGTCTTCTTGCTCAACACAATCCAAAACTGTAATTCCTCTTACAACTTTCACAGACCCTTTGCATGACTTTTTGTGTGTTATTTTTACAAATTGTCATTAAAGAGACATTAAAAAGTAAGATGGTTTTCTGACTCAGTTACAATGGGGTCCACGCAAACCGAACACGGTTGATCCAGAAACAGTGTTGATTTGGAAGGAAATAAAATCCCTGACGCTATTCTTCGCTATTTGAACAATCTCTCTAAACCAAAAACATATCTATACCAAGTAAAATTATGCTGTCCGGCTGATTTTGGTTTAAGGAAATTCTACTGGATTTGATTTACATTTAATAGAGTCATTAGAGCTTCAGTGATCTTCAAAGAATAACATCAGGAGTTAATTAGTTGGCTTAGAAAACTCAATTTTTGAAAATATGTTCTTAATTGTCCCCCCCCCAAAATGTAACCGTTTAAGCAGAGAAGAGAGTAAATTTGTGTCCTTTTCTGTGCGACCTAACTTGGAGGCACAGTATTGGTCTTTTAGAACCAGAACTGTAGATAAACTTTACATAATGCTCGGCACATTAAAAAAATTATGGTTTTGACTTAAGCAGGAGCTAACTGTGCACAACTGGGGAATGTTACTGTCTTCTCCGCAAGTGCATTCAGATCTACGCACATGCTTGCACACTTTTTTATTGCGAATATGCAGGGTTGTGATTGTTAAGTGTTTGCCTACACATGTGTACTTGTATTTGCTCAATTTTTAGAGCATGTGTGCAGTAGAAGATATGTTTGTTACTTATTTCCTCACTCTCATAGTTTTTATCGTGTATGTGGAGAAGAAGATGTGCTTGCTACTTCTTTTCCCCACGCAAACGTACTTCCATTGTACAGTTTTTAAAGCATTTGTGGTGTGGTAGATATGATTGCTACTCAATTGCCAACATCCTTACTTGCACAAAATTTTAGTGTGTGTGCCGTGAAAGCTGTGATTGTTGCTTGTTTATCCACAAAGATAATAGCACAATTTTTATCGCGTATGTGCAGTAGAAGATACTGCTTGTACTTATTTACTCATACACTAACTTGTCAATTTATATCGTATATGTGCATGTGATTGTCACTTGTTTACCCATTTACATATTATACTTGCACTTTGCACATGTTTTATAGCCTGTGTGCTGAAGATTGTATATGTGCGTTTGGGATTGCTACTTTTTTCCCTACTCATACTTGTACATTTTTTATAGCTTTTGTGCTATAGAGGATGTGATTGTAGGATATTAACATGTTCTTATGCACAGTAGAATTGTAAATGGGCTGATTTATCAATGTCATGCTCATACTGTGCCGGAACAACATGGGGGAACTGCGGTTTTTCTTTTCTCATCCTGACTATCGTCATTTTCCTCTTTTTCTTTTGTATGTTTGTCGCTCTCTTGTGAACTGCTGTTTCCGGGGTGCCTTGATAGTCGAAGCAGACCTTGTGCTGTTGAGGCTAGAGAGGTGAGCAGAATAAGCCTGATTCCCCGTTTGGACTTATCTGTGAACATCCACCCCTTGGCGCTCATATGACCATGTGCAGTTGCAAGTGCTGTAAACCCTTACTAAAACAAAGAAATTGTTACTTTTTTTATGCAGATGAGACGACTAACCTGCTTGCCACCTGTGGCGGTAAGACAGTCTGCATCATCGACGTCAACACAGAGCAGGTGCTGAAACGCTTCAGAGACATTGATAAAAATGAGGTAAGGACGATATAAAGTCATAAGTAATATATGTAAAGTAGAGACATCATCAAAAACGAAGTAAGGACATTATAAATACTTATCTGAAAAAAAACCCAACTTGAAATAACAAGTAACATGTGTACTGCAGAGACAGATTTGACACAGCTGAAGTCAGACAAAACTGGACGAAAATGATGTAGGGTAATAGTAACTACCAGCTGACCAGAAAAAAGTTTGTGAAAAGAAATGTTTTATTAAGAACTTTAAAAAAATTATGACCCAATTGACATGCTAAAGTGACCGAAACCTTAAACATAATCTGGATTATGTTTTCTAAAAAGTTTATTGCTGTTGCTCAATGGAAAGATGATAAAACAGTTCACCTCTGTACATCATGCTTTCGCAGTGACGATATATCTGCAAACGACATCTCCCTAATTGACATGTGAATTATTTGCTCATGTACACAGGATAGATATCCGAAGCAAACTTATTGTTCCAAGCAAAAGGTCCATTTTGAAATGGGCTACAAATTTTGAAAGGTTTGGGTCAATAGAAGAACAGAACTCGAATTCTAAGCCCCGAGTAACATGGTAGGCAGCCTGTAAAAACAACGCACCCCTGAAAAGGTTAGGGTGGTCCGTGATTCGGTAAAGTCTGACCGATACCTCGTCATCCTGCCAAAGTTCTGGAGAAGCTTGGAATTATTTGTTGATGATGAAGGGAGACAGAACCAGAACTTCCAGCAAGACAGGGCTGCTCATCATAACACCAGAGCTGTTCTGCAACGGATCAGCGACCATTGTGGTTACAGAACAGTCAGTCTGACTGAGCACAACTGGACTACAAACAATCCGGATCTGAGTCCACTTGACTTTCAATATTGGATGTGTTTGAAGGACAAGGTGTGTGTGGGAAAACCTTTGAGAGTTATCCAAGACTTGAGAGAAACCATCACTGATCACTCAAAAGAGATTTCCCTCGTGCAGTGTCAACGCCTGATTGTCAATTTCACTCCTTGTGTCAGAATGTGCTTTACTCAAAATAGTAGGCAATAATAATAATAATAATAATAATAATTATGATGGTTGTATCGGCTTTCTTTGGGACAAACTTTTTTTCTGGTCACATGGTATATTGAAAGTATGTTGTAAGGATGCATCAAATTCTATGTTAAGCTCTCTTTGATTTGCGTCATTAGATTTTTTCGTTTTAGAACTATGAAGCAGACTTCTCTTAAAGTAATGGCAATGGATTTTTTAGTGTATTTCCTCTTTTGGTGGACAAAATATCTGTTATTTCCTAAATGTGCAACGAATTCCTCAGAATTTTTACACCCTCGCCTGGACCACAATTGAAGCATCCAGTAAAAAGAAGGTCAACATTTTAGCTGTTGCAGGTAACCTTTTTTTTTTGTTCCCTTTAAGTAAACCTACAACTCACAAGGAAAATCTGAGATTGTATCTCCGCTTGTAGAAATAGATTCATTACAATAGGAAACCTAGAAAAACTGGAAGAAAGTACTGTTGAAATTGTCCAAGACTGCTACCCATTGTTGAGGAGAAGAGTGGTTGTCTTTGACAATAGAACGTCTTGGACAATGTCATTATGATGCAAGGGATAGGGGTGGGAGGTGGTTGTTTGTACAGGTAATTGTTTTGAATAGGTGGCTGCAAGAGGCGGTTCCACCATGTATTAGATAACAGTATTTGGGACTTGATTTTGAACTTCGCCGTTTACAGTGGAAAAAAAATGAGCACAATATGTGATTATTATACTCCCATATATTATTTTCTATTTTTGAGTTGGTGCAATGTAAAGACTATTGAATATTTACTTAGTTGTTTGTAGATCTAGAATGTCAGAATATTAGTCGAAGCCACAGGCACTAAATCGACTGAAATATATTCTTGTAGCAGATGCTCTTTTCAAACCACACTATTTCAGTTGCCCCCCCCCCCACAACTTAATCTATAAAAATTACCTTAAATGTGGTAATGACTTCTCTTCTAGGTGAAGGTGCCACAATCAAACTGATCTACCCAAACCAACTTTTGATGTATGCTCTGATTCGGGGTCACAAGAAATACATCAGCTGTTTGACCTTTCATCCAACGGAAACCAGACTTCTCTTCAGTAAGTCTCAAGTATCTATTGCTAAGCTGTTGTGATTGAATTGTTTGTGTGTTATCTTCTCTCTCATGAACAAAATGTGTTTAGTGTTTGTAAATTTCACAGCACTTGTAACTCAATCAGGTCAAAAAATGCTAAAGATTAGAATGTGACTACAGAATAACATGCAAAGAAAACGGGGTTACCGTCTAGTATCATCTCTCTAATCATTGGTACTTATATGACCTCTTTGTATTGCAATGGCTGTAAAACTCTTTCTAAAACATGCTCAGGTCTCAATTCAAAATAAGATCAAATGGATTGTGGTTGAAGTGCACCTCTGGTAGCTCCAATATTCTTTTTTTCCCTCTGTTGTATCTGTCTGTCCATCTGGCATTCTCACTGCACTTAATGGCTGTTATGGTGTCAATATGCTTCTCTTCACCTACATGAGTGGCTTCGATAGCCCAGTGCTTAGGCTAACGTAATTGAGAGAATGCGGGTTCGGGAGTTTGTACCACGGCTCAGTTCAACGTTGTGTCTCTGGGAAAGGCACATTACACGAATTTCCCATTTGCAGACCTTCCACAGATGTCGATTTAATCGGGATATCCCGATATTTTCCCTCAAATCTGAAACATCCCAATATTCACTATTTTGATTGCGTATATCCCGATTTGCTGGATTTTTCTAAAAATCACTCTGCCTTCTTCTCTGTTGCTGGAAGCACCCGTTAATCTTTTTGTCAGCAGGAACTCTGAGCAGTTTTTTCCAAAATATCGATGCCGGATTTAGTAGTTGACTTGCCCCAAGTTGTGATGGATATTTGCTTGCATGTGTTGTACTATACTTAATGGAAGTAGTATCGATTTGGCATTACGACTTAAGACATTCTCAAGATCTACTTTTGCTTTTGTTTCCACCCAGAATTCTCTGATGATGGACTGATAACAGTTTCAATTGTGACTTAAAAATGATCAATACTATTCATAGTTCTGCTGTTACTTCGAAAAACAAGTTTTGTCCAAGTTGTGGTTAGTTGGGGCCGTCATCAAGACCCGTTTGTAAAACTGTTTCAATCGTGCGTTTGCATCATGTGACATCAGCATGTGAGTTTCGTGTGTGCCAGGGACTGCCCGTTGACTGGTTCAGCTTAAGTTCATGCACACTGGTTGAAGCGTCTTTCGAGACTTAAGGGGGGGGGGGGGGGGGGGGGGGGGGGGTGGGTGTAGACACTTGGGCTAGGAGTCTTTGACATGATGATACTTCAGGATTTAAAAAAATAATAATAACACACGCTCGCACAGAGAGAGAGAGGACATTAACATGGATATTTTTATGGACGTCTCTGGAAATATTTAAGTCAGCTTGGCAGTCACCTTGGTGATTTGTTGTTGATCCCAATTTTTTTAACCTGAGATCCTGATTTTTAGATTTCATAGAATGGCAGGTTTGCATAATTATGACTCGGTCTTTTCTAAGATGGACGTTAAACTAGGAGTTCCCACCTCTTGAATAACCTAATAGTGTTGATGGGGGTGTTAAACCTAAACCATTTCACTATTTTTTACTTCACCTACATGAAAATGAAAACGTCTTCTTTTTTTCAAATCTGTCATGTTGATATGTCAAACATAAGTGTCCGATTTTACTTTGCGATCATGCCATATACAGTAGTCACCTCAGGATCTTCCTATTCAAGAAGTTGCTCAGGATTCCCCTACCAGTTTGTGCATTGTGTGAGCAGCTCTTGGTCTGATGTTACTTTTATTCCTCAGAAGTCACTCCTATTCTGTGCTCCTTTCCAAAATCTCATTTCTTTCTCTTCTCGTCTTCTTATTGCTCTCTGTATTTCTCTCGCTTCTTCTGCCCGAACCCCCACTGTCCTTTAAGATTGGTTTTTTTTTCTATGAAGAGTCTTGCTGTGTAATGCACAAATTGTAATAGCTACTGAGTTCTTGTATTGTTTTTTTTTAATAGTCAGTTTATTTGTTGTAGTCTAGGGAAGAACAGAATGTTCAAAATGGAATCCTGACCTCCTACAATCATGTCTGTCTTCCAGGTGGGTCTCGCGATGGTTTTGTGTATCTGTGGGACATTGGGATCCCAGATAACTCTCCCAGCAGCAATTACTCGTGAGTTGTTCTTGAGTTCTCTCAAAAGTCTTTTATATGTCAGTATTTAGCTTTTTTCTTCTTCTAAGACTCAAAAATTAAATTTGAATTTGATCCCCCCCCCCCCCCCCCCCCCAATTTCTTTTGTTACATATAAGTCAGAGAAGTGAAGGGGGTAAGATAATAAATAACGTAATTTACCTTATTTAAAAAAATGCTTTTTGATCCATAGTGATTTCAAATCATTTCAATCTTGCTTCTATGATATTGTCATTTTGTGTCCACTTACGATCTCTGTACAAAATAGTTTGAAAGCAGGTGCATGCATGTACAGTCAAAATTGTCCAAGACAGCACCCATTGTCGAGCAAAAAGGTGGTTGTCATAGAGAGGTGGATGTCTTGAACAGTGTCATTATGACACAGGAAAAAACACAAGGGAGGGGGGAAGTGGGAACTGGTCTATTGTTCAGGAGTTTATGTCTTAACCAGGTGGCTGTTCTAGCAGGTTTGACTATTTGTGTCACGATGCTGTGGAATCAGGCGCTTGTCAATTTTTGGGGCTGTGGAGTTATTGGTATCATCTGAAAGCTTATTCATTGGCCTTGCTTTTTTTGGAAAAAAATGTTCTTTTATCTTGACTAGAAGTAGAGATTTTTGTTATTGAAGAAGGTGGGGTAACCTGGTTTCATTGAAAAAATTAGTGAGAAAATAGCTACCAAAGTCTGATAACTTCAATAACTTGAGAGTCCTTGAAATCTGAAAAATTACATATTTTGTGCCTTTAATGTGTTTTTCAGTAAAATTTACATGTAAACTTGTTTTTATATGGACATAAAAAGTGTTGAGCCAAAAGACAAAAATTCCCCAAAAATTGCCAGACTGGCAGAAAAATGTCTGCATTTATTATTTCATAATTTTGACGATCGCCTGATTTCACCATGACGCCTCACATTTGGTTTTGTATAGTTTACTAAAGTATGTTCTTCAGGCCGCTACTGAAAATCTCTCTCCAAGACACAGTGGGTGATGCTCTGAATTTGGAGTTTTGTGAAAACACGTGCTTGCTCATAGCCGGCGCAGAGAGGGGCTGTGTGGGATGGATCGTGTCGGATGCTTCGGCTTTGTCGCCCGTCAGACGTGCCAGGGTCATAGAGTGAGTTCCTTTGACCTTTCAAGGCCTAAATGTGTACGGTTGGTTGGTGCTCTGGTGTGGTTTTGCTCCTTCTGTCCTATCAAACTCTTATTGGCCTTTTCTCTCCTCCTTTTTTTTGTTGTTTCTCTCTTGTAGGGCTTCTAATCTTTGGCACTTATTATTATCTTATTATGTTGCAAATGTGGTAACTTTTTTACTAAAACTGAAAAGGCATAGATTACAGCATAGGTTTGTCAACTGTCTCGTATTTCCTGGGACTGTCCTAGATTTGGATGTCTGGAATATGAGCGGTTTATCACAGAAACTACACTCAAACCAGTCCCACTTCATGTAATTTTTGTTGTTGTTCTACAATCTGATATCATAATTTTGGATGTACCTGATACTCAACGAGTGACCATCTACAATCATTGAATTAAGTAACAGTAAAATGCCACAAATAAAATCTACAGCTCCGAGTTGTTTTTAACTATGACAATTACATTCTTTATTCATCTCGCAGGGAGAAATTTGACTTGGTCGTTTACATTGGCTGTAGATGTTACAAAGGTTTTTATATTACGAAAACGCCTTGCGTCCATCGAACTTTGAAGCTCTCAGGAAAATGAGCATGAACAAGACATACATCCAATTATTGATAAGATTTATCCAGAAGTGTCAGCTAGAATCCATCTTCAATACCACGTGTCAGTGAGAAAAGTTTGCCATAGAAAAGGTAATGAGGCAAGGAGACCCCATCTCACCCTAACTAGTCGCAGCAGCAATCGAAGATATATCCAAGAAGCCATTGCTCAGTAAAGGAATTTCAGTAGATGGAGGACACTTGAAAGACCTGAGATTCACCTATGATGTGGCACTTTGTACTGAAAATTAACAACAAATGGATGAAAATAGAATTCAGTTGTTCAATTCTTTGGCAAGAATTATTATTATTATTGATTTTTTGAAAATGATGTTTTTCTGTATGTTTTCGACAGGAGACCAGATGTTGTTTTTCAACATCCGAAATCCAAGACAACAACAGTAGATGGATTGATGAAGCTTCCTGGTGATCTGATAGGTGAGCCTTGTTACTGTCAGCATCGTGTTGAGTACACGGTAGTGGTATTTTGATTTTGTATCCCTTGTTATGGATATCTCATACGACTTCACAATAATTTCTTTTACAGTCTGTTCCTTTACATTTTGTTTTTTCGGATAATAAAGTACTTAACTGTACTTTTCCGATCCTGTGGCCATCAGAGTTTTAGCCCTTTGGCCTGAACAGAAAAGTACTTTTAACAAAAAAGTTTCAGTGTGGAGCTTCTTTTTAAAGAGTTTGTTGTCTCTTATTTCAGCAACAAAACAAGTGGGATCTGGTGAGATTTTGATCTGGGACCTGGCCAAGCATATGAACACGGTGGCTGTCAACAACTGCAAAGACGTTGCTATCGAACCAATCATCAAACTCAAGTACCCACAACACAATGTCAAATACCTCAATCTCGGATTTAGCAACGGTCAGTGTATATTATCGCCGCCATCATTCATCCTATGCAGTGTATGTCAAAATGTGACGTTTCCGGAGAAGTGAAAAAAAAGTTTTATTTCAAGCAGGACATTATTTTACGACAAAATGTTGAATTTGTCTAAATCTGTTACTATTTTTTTAAGGGTAATGAGGCTAGGACCGGTGGATGTGCCTCGTCAAATTTTACAAGATACCTGATTTTTATTTTTTGACAATTTTGACTTACTGCAATGCCTTGAGTTTTTGTTTGTGTGTGTGTGTGTGTGTTTGTGTGTGCGCGCGTGTTCTCAAGGGAATACATGAATGCGTATATGCGTGCGTGCGTGTTTGTGCTTGCATGGTTGTGTGTGTGTCGTATGTGTGTGGTTTGTTAAAGAAGGATGTGCTTAAAGAAGAAGAACAAACCAAAAGTACTGTTTTTGTTATGCATGAATATTTTTGCCTTTTGCGATGGGCATACATCGGGATGCCAGAAAGTATTGGACTGGATTCTACAGTGTTAAAGATCAAGGGGAAGGCTATGTGGAACCTATCCAGGGTAAAAATGGCAATGATGAGGATGATGATTTGCCTTATTTTTTTGTTCTCAGGTCTGCTGGGCGTTGGGGATGATCAGGGAAATTTGTTGTTGTACAACATTGAAACAGTTCTTTCCAAAAAACAACAAAATGAAGATGAGGAAAATATCTGGGAAGCATCTTTGGTAAGCATTCATTTTTTTTTTCCTTTTTCGTCGCTCGTCCACACCAACACTCTGTCTCCCCTTTCCCAATTACGAGTTATATAGTACTGTTTCATTTGTAAGTGATAACAAATTTGTGGGTGGTTGGCGGGTGCTTTTGTGTGGCTTGCTTCTTCTTTTCAATCAAACACCTATCGTCTTTATCTCCCCTTCTTCTTTTTTGTGTTTGTTACTCTTGTAACACCTCTAATCTTCGGCACTTATGTGACCTTATTGTGTTGCTAGTGTTGTAAAACTCTTACATGTACTACAACTATATGTGCCAATGGTCACTGCTTTTAATAAAGCATACAACATCCCAGTAGAAAAAATCCAGCACTCTATAGAAATTCTCTCCACACAGGAATTGAACTCAGGTCTTCGTCGTACGATGGTGGAGGACCGAAACGTTAGACCACCGACTCCGGTGCTTCATTGTGCATGGGTTCAGTCTTAATTGTTGATGGTGGAATCTGTCTCTCTTTCTGTCTTGTTTTTTAAAATATATTGTTGGTTTCTATCTTCTTTTACTTCTGGTAAAGGCAATTATGCAATCACTCTGTTCTTGAAACTTTGTTTTGTAAGCAGTGGGTGATAGGCAGGTGCTCTAGTGTGGCTTGCTCTTTCTCTCCTAACATCTTTCACCCATAACTTTCCTCAATTTTCTTCTTTAGGCCATTCCCAAAGGGGTGATATTAACACATGTTCTAATGACCAGTAGAATTGTAAATGGGCTGATTTATCAACGTCATGATCGTACTGTGCCGGAACAACATAAGGGAACTGCAGCTTTTTCTTTCCTCATCCTTACTATCGTCCTTTTTCCTCTATTTCTTTTGTATGTTTGTCACTCTCTTGTGAACTGCTATTTCCGGGGTGCCTTGATAGTTGAAGCAGACTTTGTGCTGTTGAGTCTAGAGAGGTGAGCTGAGTAAGCCTGATTCCCCGTCTATAGATTTCTCTGCTGACATCCACCCTTGGCGCTCATATGACCATATGCAGTTGCGAGTGCCTTAAAACCTTACTAAAACAAACAAAATTCTTCTCTTCGTCTGTTGCTCTCTGCTATGATCTTGGCTCTAATCTTCAGCAGCAGTGACCAATTTAGTAGGTGGATGGCAAGTGCTCTGATATGGTTTGCTCCTTCTTGTCCATAAAAAATCTATAGTCCTTATCCGTTTTTTTGTTGTGATTGCTACCCTCTTGTAATTTACACCTCTAATCTTCAACACCTTATTGTGTTGCAAGTGACGTAAAACTGTTACCAACTAAAATGAAAAATGAAAGCTATGCAGGCATAACTGTATTGTTATGATAATGAAACTATTTCCGTGATCTGTCCACAGATTCTGGAGTGGCCCAACATAACCAACAATCAGGATATTGTGCCCAAAACAGTGAGTGTTTTCAACATATATTTTGTTAAATCATGTTTTAAAAAAAATATATCCAATGCAACAAATGTTCTAGTTTTGCAATATGTTCATGTTTGATATTTAGTGATTTCTAGCAACCCTTTAGCTCATTTTAACCAACCAACATTGTGTGATGGTGTATCTCTTTAATGTTAACGGTAGAACACTCCTTCCGCATTTCACGTGTTCTTTTGGTCAGGCATCATGTTCATTCTCGGTGTTTGCTGGGAAAGTGTTGCTGGTTGGTTTGCCTCCGTCTTTGCAATCTGAAGGCTAAAACAGCACCAAGACATGGGTGGCTGGTGCCTTTATAAATCAATCATTAATGGTTTAGATATATAAATGTACTTTCACAGATCTATCAAGTGTTTCGGTAACATCTGAGTCCTCTGATTATTTTTTTTTTCGTCTAAGAATTCTGATTGGATTTGCATACAATCCAATTTACCTCTTAAATTGTTTCCATCGGTTTGTTCACATCTTATTCTAAAGGATGTGAAAATACACAGATTTATATGCAATAATTTGACAATGTGTTGTAAATAAAGTAAAAATACTAATTCGTGTGTATTTGAAATACACATTTATTTATTTGCCATTTTTGGCTCGTAGCGGAATCTTAACAGGGGTTCTGCAGGCTCCGACACCCCCCCCACTCTGATTTTTAGAGAAGAATCGGAAGAAAGCTTCTATTTTGGATTTTGGTCATGGGTTTGTTGGCAATTCTTCATTTTTAAGGGCTTGGTGACCCGTCTTACTACGCACTGTAGCTCTCTCTTTCCTTTGGCCCTCAGGAACTGGTGGTGAACACGGTGGCCATCTCCAGCTCCCACGAGTTTGTCACAGGTGGCACGGACAACAACTTAGTCTGCATCTGGAAGAGAGAGGACGAGGAGGAGAAAGCGGCCAGTAGCAAAGACGGGGACTGAGCGCTGGGCTGGCTGTGGAATGGATGCGTTTTTAGTCTCATCGTGTTTTCAGAATTCTGTGCTGAAACTGAAAGTGGAACAGTTGTCTTAGTAGTGTGGTGTGGTAGTAAGTTATATCATGCCCTGGGAATGTTTTGCTCACTGAAGAATGGTTGCGTTTTAGTTGTGTGTCTTCAGAATGCTGCGGCTGACTGTGAAGTGGTGCGTTTTAGTTACGCCATGCATGTCTTCAGAATGCTGCGGCTGACTGTGGAGTGGTGCGTTTAAGTAATGTCATGTCCTCAGAATGGTGCTCTAATTCTGGAATGATTGTCCTAAAAGTGTGTTAGTGACACATGTTGCCCTCAGAATGACAAGATTCTGATCTCTTATGTTGTTGCAGAACTGAGTTGTACACTGTTTTCTACTTCTGGATCTCGGTTATAAACCTGCCTGGTTGTAATAATCTCCTTGGTTTGTCAGATAAATTTTTAATTTACCCACCACCACTCCCCCCCCCCCCTCCTTTGTACAAATAGTACTGTGAGGTGCAGTGTTGTAAAGACTTTGGTGTTTAAGTTTGATGAATTGCTCAGTAGGTGTAGTGTCTGTTCGGTGGATGTTGCTGTTGGCTCTTGATTTAACCCTTCTAAGTGGCTCTAATAAATAGCTTGTGGTGCCAGGGGAAATTCTATGATTTCACCTTAATATGTGAGAAAAATACTTGAGAACAGGCAAATGAAGCAAGCAAAGGTGTTAACCTTTTCATATTTAGAAAGAAGAATGTAAATTAAAAATACAGATCATTCGTGAAGGAGTTGAAATGTTTAATAATATAAAAAAGGTGATAAACAAATTGGAAATTACGGCAGATTTAATCGGCAGCAACACCGCAGAGTGAAGCTTTAGTAGGTCAATTTAATTATCCGTCGACACTTGGAGGGTCAAACATTTTGTAGGCTTATTTGATTATTTTTATAGTTGTTGACATACCCTTTATGGAGGACATTGAGAGTTAAATTGATTGAAAAGAATGATAAATGACTAGTGCACCTCTCCACTGACAAAAATGCTATTTCGTTCTTGTAATTTGATAAGTTTCAAACTGAGTTTGTCTATTTCTTTTCGAGCGTTTTGTGAAACATGGGGAGTCCTGACAGGTCCAAAATTACAGTGTACAGGAATGAATTCATAAATAAAGAAAATATAGTTGGACTGAGTTGAAAAAGCTTGTGCAAGAGATTTTCTTTGAACTATTCATTTTTTCTGTGATGTTATGTCTCATGTATGAAATAGTCAAATCAATGTTTTCCTCTTTGAGTCCGTGGATGTTTAAAGAAGACTTGAAAATAATTATAGCATTTGTATAGTGCAAATTCAGGCTCAACAGCTAGCTCTATGTGCTTTACAATCTATGTATTATTACCCCAGCACACTTGTTAGCATTCTAAAACAATCTCAACTTTCTGGGAAGCATACAGTGCAAGCTGCCATTTTATAGGCACTAAAACACCAACACACTGACTAGATCTTTCACTGTCTAGAGCTGGGTACTTATGTAAAATGCCTTTCCCAAGGACATGACATCAGGCCTGAGGCTCGAACCCCTGAACCCTATGATTTCGAGTCCGCTAGCCTAACCACTTGACTACCAAAGCCACCAAGTTCCAAGGTGCATCTTTCGAGCTCAGTGTTATACTGTTTTAACTTGTTGATGTCTTGAGCAGTATTGAGCCAGGTCTATGCTTTGTTTTTGGCCTTACTGAGAAGGGCAAAGTGTTTCCTTTATTATAACAGTTATAAAAGCTTAGATTTCAGTCCTTTATTTATTGGAACTCAAAAGTGCACTGCATAGTGCTTGAATCTTGTCATTCAAAGTGCTTAGTATATTTCTGAATTGGTGGATCAACATGTACTATAAGATATGGCTGCTTTGGAAGTGTGTATATATATAAATAATGCTGAGGAATGGGAGCTTCATCGCTCTTTGACCTTGGTGTGAGATTCACTAGCCTGTGGTCAGTGAGATTGTGTGATAGGTTTCTTTCCTCATTCTGTCTGCTTGTTTTTGGTTTGGGAATGGGGGAATGGGCATTATGAAGAGTAACGTGTCTGTCGATTTGCATGAAAAAAATCAAATGAACCTACTTGGAAAACCTGGAAGTGTCATCTCTAGATTCAGCCTTTGATGTGTAATGATCCGCCGTTGTTTACGGTAAAAATGAATGGTGCACTCACTAGCAGAATTGTGTAATGATCTGCCTTTGTTTATGGTAAAAATAAAAATGAACAATGTACTGATTAGCAGAACGTTTTTCAGCTGTTGGTCTGTTGTGTATACGTAATAATAATCGATATATTTTCTTCTGTTGCATGTGATGTAGGCCAAATTGATTTGGCTTTCTGCTATGTTGACAAAAACGATTTTGCTTGTTGGGCCTCGGGAAATGAGAAAATGAGGGGAAAGCTCGCTCTCTCTCCCATGAATGGCGTAGAGTCCTCAATCAAAGTGTCATGTAAAACTTTTAAAATTAAATTATTTACAATATTTAAAGATGATGAAAATGTTGTGGCTTTGTCTTTTAGTATTACTCTTGTTCTTATCTCTACTTCCTTGACCTTCAGTTGCATGACCTAATGCAGGGGTCACCAATCTATGGCAAAAAAAAAAAAACAGCAACAAAGAAACTTGGAAGATATAATGTATGATGACAATTTTTTTTCATTAATCTCGCAGGGAGAAATTTATCTCAGTCATTATAATACATATAATAGCTCTAGCATGCTCGGGATTTGGTCCCCATAATCATTTCATTGAACTCCTCAGTGCAAATTAAACTTGCTTTTCTTGACCTCATGACTTGTAACTAAAGTGGCACTCTTTAATCAACTTATGACAAATCTTTCATTAGACAGGTATTCTGTGTATTGTATTCAAAATATTTATTGAGCCCACACTTAGCATTCTATCAGTTATAATTGGACCCACTCTTGGCATTTTCATTTTTATTCGGCCCACTTTGAAAAAAAAAGTTTAGTGGCTCCTGACATTTGCGAAATAGTACAACAGTGGGAGGCTTGAGATGATGATTCTGGCAAAATTATGCTTCATGCCACGTGTAGTGGAAGAGGCTGTTCAGTCTTAAATGGTCTCCCCCTTTTTTCTTCCTTGACATGCTTGTGGTTGGCTGGTGCTCTGCTATGATTTGCTCCTACTTTCCTATCAACAAGCACCTGTTATCCTTATCTCTTCTCCCTCTTTTCTTTGCATGTTTTTCTCTTGTAACACCTTTAATCTTCGGCACTAAATACGTATAGGTATATATGACCTATTTACGTTGCAGGTGCTGACCTTAGATTTGCGTTGCAAGTGCAGTAAAACTCTTACTCACACCAGACAATCTGATATGGTCTTCTGCTTCTACTTCTTGTCTGTCATGTTACTTTTTATCACTGTTATAATCCCTTCCTACGAAAATGTGGCCAATTTTGTTCTGATGTCCGGTAAATTGCATCCCAGCTTCATTCACTTAAATGAGCTGATGGCTAAAGTTATGATCTGGTACTGGTAAGTCCCTTGTTTCTGTTAGCTCAAGAGTTTTCTTGTGCACCGTGCAGTTGTCATTGTTATTTATTATTCTTTCATGCTTGAGTTGATCTTCCTCTGTACAGCAAACCCTTGTGTTCACATTCTTCTATTACAACACAATAATAGCAAGTTGGGGCTTATTGATGGGTGCACTAGTTAGCCTACTCACTGGAGGCTAACTTCTTTTGACAAGACCAAAAGCGGGTGGTCGAAGGGCACCACCGGTAGGTCCTAGTAATTCTTTTTTTTTCCCCTCAGTCGTTTTTGTCTATATTATATATGTATGTTTTGCTTTTTCCCTGCACAAGATGACCTATATAGTGCCAATGTGCTTGTCAGTACTCACACACACTCTGGTGAAATGTAGCATTTTGCTACCTCAGAAAATGACAATGCTCAGTACTTGAGAAATTTGACTTTAAAAATTCTGAGTTTCATAACATGTCAAGCTTTTTTCACTGCAATTCTTTGAATATCTTGATGACAACTCCAAATGATTTTGATAGAGCAGATAAAACATTTGGTTTCTGACCTCATGGTCTTAAAATTAAAACTCAAAATGTCAAAAAATGTCAGAACTTTGTAATTCTGAGGTAGCGATTTATCTGACTGCAAAATCTACAAAGTAATAACTGGATGCTGTAACTGTTATGAAATCTTCCAAATTATTGCTTATTGATGGATAGATGTATAGTAAACGGGATAATAGTTTCTTTCCTATTCATTTGTGAAATAAGAATTCCTGACCATTTGATGTCAGGTGGTCTCAGTTGGGCCTTTCTTTGAGTCATTACGCTACCTCAGAATTACAAAGTTCTATCTGCACAGTACCTAGTTTCGAGAAATTTTACGTCAAAGATTTTGAGTTTTGTATTATGTCAAGCTTTTTTTAAAAATGCGATTCTTTGAATATCTTGATAATGACTTAATAGTCTTATATGGTTTTGATAGAAGAGATAGACCATTTGGTTTCTATTCTAACCTTATGGTCTTAGTAGAGACTCAAAACGACCAAAAATGTCAAATAGCACTTTGTAATTCTGAGATAGCGATTAGGTTAAGCGTTTGAAATACCGAACATAATACTTGTCATAATATCAGGAATAAAAAAAAAAAGAGGTCTGAAAGTAATATACCCATGGCACAAGCTCTTCTCGAACGACACATCAAAACAAACTTCAGTCATTCAGGTGTGTCCTATTTAACATTTTATTTATAACAAAGGGAAATAAAATGAAAAATTTGTAAAACCACTTGTAAAAAATATTGTTCCACTGAAAACACAAATATTGAGTGTCTTGTTTTCTCACAGGAATATGTGACAAAATCTGTTCTTAATATCCCAGGTAACAGAATTGTCTTCTGGTTTGGTACACTCGATGATGTCATCAATGCTCTCACACACAAAGGACAGAGGTTGACAGTGTTTATTTAAATACCTAAGGTCTGTCACCAGTCTAAATTCTCTAATTTCCTTTTCAAAGAAGGCTTGTTCTTTTGTACTCAATACAGGGTTTTTCAAATGAAAAGGCTGTGGTAGATCAGTAAAAGGAATTTCTAAAGATATCCGTTTTTATATTTTCCAAATTGTTGGTTATTTTCTTTTTCACCCAATTGTCCAGTCTCAGACTAGCCCCTTGGAACATTAAACATACACACAGCTGTCCTTAGGGGGATTCCCATGGACAAATGGCCGTTCTTTAATGTAAATGCAGCCTCCTGATTGGCTGAGTATTTATTATTCATCGTCCGGCTTGGGGATCCCCCTGACCTGAGTAGTTGCAGTTTCTCTGTGCCCCTGCTCTTCCAAATTGGAAAGGGGGGAAGGTCCTACCCCGCCCCCTGCGAGGGTTGGTAGTTCTCTTCTGACCTAGTTGTGATTGTGCTGCAGCAAGCTTGGCAGCCACTCTAACGTTTTGCAGAGATGCGCCTTTAAACTTAAACGTTGCAGATTTGTTTCAAATTGTCTGAAAATGCGGGATGTTTCATCGTTGAAAGTACTTTGACAACTAGATTTGCACATTCACTTTGGAGAAATCCGATTTGTGCTGTAGCACGTCACAATATTATCGAGGTCAACTCGAGACGTATGGGATGGGTCAATAGTAGCAAGAATTTTCCTTTCGATTTTTTTTGTGCATGAATTAGCCTTTTTATCTCGTAACTGCTGTGAATTTTTAAAAAAGCATTTTGTCAGCTTATGGCAGATACATGGACCTCAACCGTAGAAGTCTGCTGTGTAACGCCATGGTTATGCTATGTGTTGTTCTGTCTCTTTGCTTTCAAAAAGGTTCATGCCAATTTTGTGTGTGGCAAGTACAATGTAGGCCTAAAGGTCAATGTGCAGAGCTCATCCCTGTAAGGTGAGAAGTTCATTAATTATCATTATTTGTGTCGCAACGCGGTAGAATCGGGCGCTTGTCTGCTTTTCGGGTATAGGGGGCTATAGGTATAATCTTAAAGTATGTTAAAGCTTGTTTAATTGTCTTGCCCTTTTTAAAAAGAAAAAATACCCATCTATCTTGAATAGAAGATGATTTGCGATAGAAAGAGGTTGGAGTCGCTTGTTGTCAGAGGAAAATTTGTGATAAAACGGCTGCCAAAGTTTGCTGATTTCGAAAGATTGAGAGTCCTTGGAAACTGTATTTTTTACTGTAAATTTTCATTTTTTGTGCTTTTAGTCTACATTTTTCAGTAAAATCCCCACAGAAATGTATTTTTAAATGGACTTAACTGGTGTTGAGAGAAAAATTTTTAAAGCCCAGTTGATGGGCAAAAGCAGATTTCATCGATTTCACTATTTTGATGAGCGCCTGATGTTACCATGATGCCTCACATTTGTTATAATATATATATATAATGTCTTTGTTCCTAATTTGCTTTTGGATTCTGACGTTTGCTTTTGGAGAAGAGTTACAAGCTTTAGGATACTGGTAGCGTACTTAGGTGTTTGGATCTATTCATGCGAGTACATTATCACCAGCATCTGTGGTGTAGCGGTAGAGCGCTATGCTGAGTGTTACACACAGGAGACCAGAGTTCAATTCCTGAGTGGGGAGAAAAGTTTGATTGAGTATCTCAGTAGTCTTTCTGCTGAGAGAGATGTTGTATCCTTCTCAGCCTGAGTTGGCCAGGACAGGCAGGGCCGGAAGCCGGTCTTCTAATGATCTAAATGTAAATGGATGGAGATGTTAAAACACCATTTTAAAAAAAGAGGTACAGTATCATGACTGAATCTCTTTTTTTATTTTGTGTGTGTGTGTGTGTGTAAAATTCTTTGTAAATTAATTGTTGTGGTTATAGTCATTGATTCCTTTGTTTTAATTTCATTGTAAGAGAAATTTTAATTGTGAAAAGGTTTATAATGGAACGTGGTTGTCATCAGTAATTTTGGAATGAGATGTATTCATCATGAGTTTGTGTAATGGGTGTCTTGACTAAGTTCAAATTCAAAATAAACAAAGGCGAATAATATAAAATGTTTATGGAGTAGCATTTGACTTTGTGAATGTTTTATTGTTGTCCACTGTAAATCATTTATAACAAATGCGAGCACTTGGGGACATTAGGTTTGTCTGTGGTCTCGCAGTTTTGATGACCCAATGGCAGATCAGTGTAGATTTTTCCGCAGTTGTGAATAAGTATTGTTAGCGCCTTATCCACAACTGCGGAAAGATCTGCACTAATCTGCCATTGTGCAAAAATGACTTTTTTTCTTATATTTTAGGCCAGTGTGGTAAAATCAGTTAAAAACTTGTATTTTGTGGTGTGAACTCAACACTTTCCACCCACAACCTTTGTCCCAACGAACCAGGATGCAGAAGGGGTACATCAGTACTTAACTATACATATATATATCTGTATCTCGGCAAAAGCACCACAATCATTACACTTTCATCACATTGAGAATATTGAATGTGATGATCGCATGTTTACCGAAAAAGAAATTAGAATTGGAACTGAAAACATATCCAGCACATTCATCAACTAAATTCTCACCATGATGTCAGAGTAAAGTGCAGCACTCATGCCAGCTCTAATCGACATTAAGAAAAAAAACAAATTTACTCCAGTTGTTGTAACCAAACTGATTTTCGCCTTCAAAGGCCATACAAGCCATTCAGAAAGGAAACTATAACTTAAACAAGTGCGTGTGTCTAGATGGAGATCATTCCTACATTTTTTATTGCTATTCACACCATTGCTGATTTGCTTCTGGTGGGAGGAAGAGGTGGCTTCTAATCTTATGGTCGCTGATGAGCGTCCTGTGGGGTAAAGTGTTAAACTCGCCTTGAAGCCAGTCGGGGTAAACAGTAATCTGAAATCCACAATAAAATGTGTTCTTAAAAGGGCATATATATGACATATGCCGGGGGAGGGGTAGAGAAGTAACCGGCTTGTCGTAACCTTCCTTTGTAAATTTTATATACACATTACAATTACAAGTTGAAAAATGGGACAGCACAAAGGAACCAAGAAGTACTCTGTGTTCATTTCTTAAAATAGCAACGCATTATTTATTATCGAGATAAATATTCCAACAATAAATGTACGATTCTCTCACTCAAGAGTATCACAGCCATACTGATTAACTAAGCCAAAATGTATTCCATCTTTGTCTGAGAACATGTAACAACAGGTAACAATAACAATATTTCGTCCATCAATGTCTGATCAATGCATCTGCTTAGTTTTTAAAAGTTTTAGTAAGGTTTTACGGGGCTCGAAGATGAAGAATATATTTTTAGTGACACTGAAGAAATAAGGGTTAAGATACTTCTGCTTCGGCTGTGGCCAATGACACCCGTTCTAGCAGAGAAGTAACAACAAGTAGTAGTAACGTTAAACAGTGTTTCCTGATCTCTGGAAAAGCTGTTTTAAGAGAAACCCTTGACACGCATTATGAGCAAACTTATTGCAGAAACATTCATAAATACATTAAAGAAATTCATTACACTGTGAGCTGTTGTAACACATCTCCGATTCTCCCACTGACTTTGATGGTGGCATGCTTGTCGCCCCGTGTGCCGCCGATATTCAGAATAGCAATCTCCATACCATGACTGCTAGCTCTGTTGATGAATCGGAAACCAGAGTAGACCTGGGGAAAAACACATACATCCCATTAATAACAATATTCTGATATAAGCAAAAATACATTGGAGTCTGCTTAAATCAAAACATGCAGGACAGCCGGATTTTCTTCGGTTTAGCCGAGTTTTTAGTTTACAAAGGTTTCTCAAATAGAATTTTTTTTAAATTGGAGATTTCATTTTCTTTTGGTTTACTGTGGCGTCGGTGGCCTACTGGTTAGGCTCTCGGACTCGCAACTGTAAGGTCGTGGGTTTGAATCCCGTCAGGGGCCCGACGTAGTGTCCTTGGGAAAGGCACTTTGCACAAATTTTCCTCACTTCACCCAGGTGGAAATGGGTACCCGCCTATAGACAGTGAACGATCTTGTCAGTCTGATAGTGTTTGAGCACATGAAATCCGCAGCTTGCACTGTATGCTTTCGCGGAAGCTGAGAATGTTTCTGTGTGTTCTCAGAGGGTCTGCTGGGGGTAATAATACTTGTAAAGCGCATAGAGCATGCTCTTGAGCATGGATATGCGCTATATAAATGCAATTATTATTAATTATTATTACTGCTGTTTTTTTAATTAATAGCACTCGGTTTAAGCGGACTCACTCTGTATTTTTTCTCGAACATATCTTACTTAAGCAAACATGTTTCTTTCAGTTCTTTTAACCTTGAGTCTTCAAGTCTTCACTTGACATTGGTGAACTGTTCAACTGTGCACATCATAGCACTACAACTCTAAAGTATTTTTTCGCAAAAACATAAGAGAAAACAACCACAAACTCCAATCATGAGAATGTAGTTTTCATTAACTATGACTATTTTGTAATGACAGCTGAACCCTTTCCTGATGATACTGATCACATTCTTCACCAGCAATGGCTGCCTGCTCATCTGTTCAACTTCTTGTGCACTTTTCAACCTCCTGATTTTCACATTCTTTTGCCCATGCTATCAACCAAAGGATCACAGTGTGTAGAAAATATGAGATGGAAAAACCCTGATGCTACTGAGGACCAAACTCTGGACCTCTGAGTTGACAGGCAAATACCACACCTGTTGAGAGATTAAGCACTCAAAATCTGTACAAAGCGCTGTTATTGCAAAATTTATATTGAACAAGAGCACATGAAAAAAAAGATTTTTCCTCATTTTTTGTTACCTGGTGATTCTACAAAAAGGTGTTTAGTTCTGTCTTTTAAAAACTTCTATGCTGTTTCTTCTTTATGTAAACCCAAAGCAAGGTACTTTTTACTTATTAAAAAGTTTACACTGTTAGCTCAGTAATGATAGTTGATATCTTGCTGAGTTTCAACGTGAACAACCCTGGTACAAATTCATTTTTCTTGAACTTTTATTGTCTTGAATGTAACTTAAAATACACCAAAGAGGCCATACTGTAGTTAAACTAAGCAGGCTTACTCTTTTGATGAGTATTTCATATTCAAATAAAAAGTAGGAACTGAATAATACACACTTGAACATAAAATATATAAAAGCAATAGTCAGAATGAACCAAAGCTATGATTATAGATTGGGACTGTCAAAAAAAAAAAGAAGCTGATTCAAGTCGTCGAGTACTCACTGCAGTTTACTAAATATTCGGACTTGAGTCCAAAATACTGGACTCGAACACTCTTAACAAAAATATCCCCCCCCCCCCTGAAAAGTATTAATTAGGTCAATATGACACACCTCTAATGAAGATCCAATCACAAGCAGGGCGTCTGATTTAAACATCTTGTCCAGCACAAAATGTACAGTATCCTTGGGCACGTTATCTCCAAAAAATGTAATCTCTGGCTTCAAGACACCCCCGCAGCTGGGACACGGAGGGACCTGCAAAAGCAATAAAAGATAGCTTTACTTTGTATATGTACATTCTAGCAATATAAGATAAGGCCATTCCCAAAGGGGGTATATTAACATAGAATTGAAAATGGGCTGCTTTATCAATGTCATGCTCATACTGTGCCCAAACAACATAGGGCGGGGGAACAGCTGCTTTTTATTTCCTCATCCTTACTAGCATCACTTTTCCTCCACTTCTTTTATATATATGTTTGTCACTCTCCTGTGAACAGCTATTTCCGGGATGCCTTGATAGTCGAAGCAGACTTTGAGCTGTTGAGGCTAGAGGGGTGACCAGAGTAAGCGCGATTCTCCGTTTGGACTTCTCTGTTGATATCCACTACTTGGCCGTCATATGACCTTATGCAGTTGCAAGCGCAGTAAAACCTTACTAAAACAAATAGAAAATATCTGTAACGATATACAGTCGAACCTGCTTATGGCCATCTGTCCACGACACAAAAGACCACTTACTATTTCGACCCTTTACTTTTACTTGTCTAACACAACCATTTTTTTCCTCGACAATGGGTGCCTATCTTGGACATTTTGATTGCATCTTCAAAAGACTGAAATTGGCAAAAAAGCTTTTTATCAAAGCACTGAGTCAGAAAAGCAAGTACGAGACCCGGATTATGAAGATGACAATAACCCCAGTTCAAATGGTTCAAATCCATTCTGAACTCTGGATTTTCTGCAGCAAGTTTTACTTTCATTGGTTACTCTATCCATTGAAGACCACCTCTAAAGTTTGCCTCCGTACCCTTTGAGTGCCGAACAGCATTAGGTAAGAACTTAAAGTTGAATTGAAAGAGATAAAGAGACTAGTCAAGAGGATGAACTTAGGGAACTTAAATTTTTTTCCCCCTCTCAAGAGATGGCAACAGACATCGCAAAAAAAAAAAAAGAATCTATATGAAACTTGTGGAAAAGTACCCACGAGATCTCAAAATTTACTAATCATACTGTCTGTTACATCTTATATTAAGCAGTCCACGAAATCCCAACAATTTCAGAAATCCAAATTCCTGGATCAACTCTAACTTTGCACTTTGTCACCTGGCGCTCAGCTTATTATGCTAGCTATCTCCACACTATAATGCATTATTTCTTTATTACGTAGGAAGAAGTTTAAACTGGCCCAAAAAGCGCATGTGATTGTGAGCAATAGAGTCAGGGACATGTTGCCGTTTCATCAAAAGGGATACAACTTGACCCTGGTCAACTAATGGGGTGCCACCATAGAGAGTAATCTCCTTTTTTTTAGGTACATCAATGAGTGCCACAACATATATATATTACATGATATCATTATATCATTACCTCAATGGCAGAGAGGTGGCACCTTTTGTCGGTGCCACATACGACTTTTCTTCTGCTTACACTTTCCTGTCCATATGACATGTCAACCAAGAGTCTAGTCTGGTCTGGCATAGTGCGAGAAACTGATAAAGATACCTTTCAAAATTTTATTTGTGCCCCCATTGGAGCATTGATCGCACAAATTTATACAGAACTATTTGGGTGACTCAGTTTGAATACTGTAAGAGTTTTATGGCACTAACAGAACACATAAGGTCATATAAGTGCCAAAGATTAGAGGTGTTACAAGAGAGTAACAAACACAGAAAAGAAGGAGGGGAGAGAAGGACAATAGATGTTTGAATAGGAAAGAAATAGCAGACTACACAAGAGCACCCGCCACCCACCCACTGGGAGACTTGGAAAAGAACATTACATTGAATAATGTGGCAAAGGTATACATTTGTAAGAGGACAAAGTGATAATGGTATTCATTTCACACTCTCCAAAGAAACCAACTGACAAAATCAAAATTATCCTCACCATAAATTTGCGGACTTACATTGCTTTTTTTTCATAATATCACATTGCATTAAAAAAACTTCCCAAATCTAAAATCATGAAATGGAGCTTTGTTAATACAATAGAAACAAAAAAAGCAACAAGTAAAACTATCATACGCACACACAAGATTGGATGGTTCAACTAATTTGCATTACGTTGAACAGCCAAGCAGGGTTGAGTTGATTTAAATCAGTTGATTTTTTTTATTTAAATCAACTTGATTTTTAAAATAAAAATCAGTGATTTAAATCACTTTAAAATTTTTTTATTTTTATTAGGTTTTTACACATTTCAACATTCAGAATTCCTTTCCTTGGTTTCATAAAACAGATATAAGGTTTAGTAGACTAATATAATCATGCTTAAAAGTCTGATTTCCCCCCTTTTCACTGTAAAATAATACAGTATTCAATTTACTTTTTTTTCCATAATTGAAATCAGAGCTGGGTTGATTTAAATCAGTTGATTAAAAATTTTTTTTAATCAATTTGATTTTTAAAATAAAAATCAGTGATTTAAATCACTTTTCAAAAAACTGTATTCAGTTTTTACATATTTAAACTTTCAGAATTCCTTTCCTTGGTTTCATTTTAAACGGATATAAGGTTTAGTAGACTAATATAATCATGCTTAAAAGTCTGCTTTCCCCCCTGTCACTGTAAAATAATACAGTTCTCAATTTACTTTTTTTTCATACTTGAAAACCAGGGTTGGGTTGATTTAAATCGGGTCGATTTAAATCAGTTGATTTTTTAAAATTTAAATCAACTTGATTTTAAAAATAAAACTCAGTGATTTAAATCACTTTAAAAAAATGTTTTCTGTTTTTACATCTTTAAACATTCAGAATTCCTTTCCTTGGTTTTATAAAACAGATATAAGGTTTAGTAGACTAAAATTGCTTAGAAGTGTGCTTTCCCCCCCTGTCACTGTAAGTAGTAAAATAATACAGTATTCAATTTACTTTTTTTTCATAATTGAAATTAGCATTTTCTTTTTCTTTTTCAGACAAACACAAGCGTGTGCTCACACACACACTGTAATAAAAATAAAATGCAAGTTTATCTATGCATAATTACCCCCCCCCCCCCCCTTCCTTTTAGACTGACATTTTCTTCATTTTTTGTCTGTAGCCATAATTCACTGATATAGCAGATTAAAAAGGCTTTCTAAAATTGCAGTTGCTTAAAAAAAATAAAAAAATCACCAATCCTGCAGCCAAGTTGTTTAGAAGTTTAGCACTCCTTTCAACACTCGAGGAAGAGGGGCCTCTAAATTTAACATTATCAGTCTCCAATAAGACCAAAAATGCTTAAATTCACACGTAGAATGTTTATTCCGTACAGTTCCCACATTATAATTCAGGTTTCAGCACTTAAGCAGGTGTCTAAGACAGCAGCAGCTTAAAATAAAATACCAAGGCTCACCTGAAAACTTTTGACTTTCTCTGACTCGAGGTTCACATCACCATCAGGCCGGACAGCATCCGCCTCAGCAACCCATCCAGGATTTTGATCCTTGATCATCTTCTGCATAGAGTGTCTGGAGAGTTTCAACGAGCAAGAGAGACAGACAACACGATGAGCGCTGCCGTGGAGTTCAGTCACATGCTGCGATCCGGCTTTGAAGTGAAGGGCATCAACGTTTTGTGTCACCAACCAATGCACTCGCCCCTTCCTCTCCCAATCACTGAGAATGTAATGAGCCGCATTTGGTTGGAAGGAAGAAAATCTTGGCCAGCCGACATAGTTTCGAGCCCAATACCGCTTTCGAATATCTGCACTTTTGAGAAAATCTGCATATTGTACGGGTCGAGTGGTACTGGTTGCATAAAGCCCCACTCCTTCCGACCTGTAATCTGGTATACCACTTTCAGTTGAAATTCCTGCTCCTGTTAGAATGAACAGATTCCTGTGTGTATTCAGAAACTCTTGCAAATTTTGCAGGTCCACTTCTGAGACGTTCCTACATTCAGGTACGAATTTGTTTGCTACACCGACTGAGCATAAACTGTCTGAGGATTTGTGGAAGTTTCTTATCTTAGCACAGCTATGATATATCTGCCAACAAGTCAGTACACAATGTCTTTTGGTAAATTGGTGGGCAATTAATCCCATTTTTCGTTAAATTTACGTGTATTGAAGTATTCACCTTGCCAGTTTAAGCTGTCTTTGAAAATGTGACTCCCATTAACTTGCCTGTTTCAATGTCAATGAGGAGCCCAACCACAAACAATGATGCTGGTTGACTCAGCAGACTGGTAGTTCAACTTCAACTCTAAAACTGAAAGGAATGCAAAGCAAAGAATGTGTCAACATGACATCCAGATGACTAAGTTCCAGACCATGACTCATAGCAAATCCAACTACAAATCCAGCATTCATAATACACATGATTTAAAAACTTCTCAACTAAGTGTATAAAAGCTAATAAGATCAGAATAATAGCTCTAGATTCTCTTCTTAGACTGAAGCTTACTACTAAACCTGGCTCTAGACTAGACTTGAATTTCAATTCTTGAGCACATTTAATAAATCATTTTTATTACAGTAGATTCATATTCAGTACAATGTTATGTTCTATTTATGTGCTCATTTCGTAACGATGTGTAAGCATGTGCATGGTGGTAGGTATCATTTATGAGTGTGAGTGTGTGTGTGTGTGTGTGTGTGTGTGTGTGTGTGTGTGTGTGTGTGTGAATATTGTTTTTGTATATATATGGCATGCATTATATTTATATTTTATGTATAAAGCGCCTAGAGCTGTGTTCACACGGGAGTGGGCCCTATAGAAATGATCGCTACATATTATAATTTTTATTTAAATTTAAATATATATGTGTCACAGTATTTACATCATGATAATGATAGTATAGTCTTAAGGCCTTCTTTACTATGACAAATTATTTCAGTCTGGTTTCTCCCCACAGTCACAGACCAGCCAGGACCAACTTCTTCTCTCCCATTATTTATAGTAGACCCCTACCCTAAAGCTCTACTCTAAAGTCTATAGATAATGACAGAGAAAGTATTTAATTATACTATTAATTTACGAAATGGCTACCCGTACATAGATCTAGGTTTAGGCCCTATTGACCAAAACCTGTTGAGTGCACAGGTCTCATAGATTAGTAATTAATTCAGGCATAAAATTTTCCAGTAATTAGGCATCTTTTTGCTTTCGTCTGAAATAGACAAATACTTCTGATATCGCAAACTAAAACTTTATTTATAATTCAGTCATCATTATTAAGTACGGCTAGCCAAGCAGTCTAGCCATGCTTATTTTAAGCCCAATTAGAAACCTGACTGTTGGGTACACAGGTCGCATTCATATCTATGAGTATGAGTAATCAGAGGTTTAAAATACATGCACTGTCAGTAAGGCACATTTACAATTCAGTAGGCTATTTTTGGCTGTTTGTCAGTCTAGCCATCATTAGCTGTCTAGCCGTCTCCTCTTCCTTACAATATAGTTTGGAAGGAGGAAGGAAAGTATGGCTAGCCTGCCAGTCTAGAGTCTAGCAGCAGGCTTAATAATAATAGTCTAGCCGTCATTAGGTACGTCATATTATATATAGCCTACATTAATATAGGCTATGGCCCATGGAATGGTTGCAATAGTCCTGGCCTATACTACTATATATTATGTTCTACCCTCTGAACGTCTAGGTCCTGGCTTTGTTTTATTACATTGTATTTTATGGTGTTACATAAATGAGTAGTTTAGTAGTTTAGTGAAAGTGAAAGAAAAAGGGTGTAAGATCAAGTAATCGATTGTCACGGTCAGGTGGGGATATTATGAAAAACTGGTTTTAATACCTAAAATGCTTAGTAGGCTCTAGATCTAGATCTATATCTTGGTGAACTTGAGGCAGGGGGAGTAGGCTGACTTGCCCAGTGCTGTATTTATAATATGCAGGCTGCCGAAGATGCTTGTCGGTCCGTTCATCAATTTTGTTGCTATTTTCTGATATTTCGTTCCGTGCGTATCAAAATCCGTAGTTAATTCCATGTTTTACAAATAAAATAACGGGGGATTACTCTCGTTTTTAGTTGCTCTTGCCAATCATCAACAATACGACCCAGCCCTCTCTGGTCTTCTCTTCACTTTTACCCTAATACCCCTAGGCTTGCACTAAAATACAAACCGTAGATGCCACTAGTATTGAAGCTTTGCCTAATTGTTAGAATAGAATATGTCGTTCAGGTAGATCTAGATCTAGATATCTAGTTTTTGTCAGCAAAAATGGCTGCTTCAGGATCCAACGATCTTGAACAATTTCGCCAGCAATGGAAAAAAGAATTGGGACAACAAAAGACGAAGAGTGGTGGTGGTGATACTGACAGTGATGGCCTCAGCGCAGACAACAACAGCGGGCAGTTTTATCAGTTTGAACTTGGTAATGATAAGCCACAAAATCTTGAATTTAAAACAAATGCCTTTCCTTCATTACCAAGTCAAAATCAGAGTGGGCACATTGACGGAGATTCCAGTCCTGATGCATCGTGTGACGGTTTCAATTTCAATTCTCAGAGTGCAGCTAACAATAACAGCACCTCTGCTGGTGCTGATGCTCACGAGTATTATCCATTCCAAATCTTAACAAAGTTTCTTAATGAAGCTCCCAAAAGGAAGAAAAGTGATCCTCAAAGAGCAAAAGGGGTGAAAGTCAGGCCTAATTTAACATATTGCAAAAGGAAATATTTTGTGACAGATTCTCCAAAGCCTAATAAGGCGGGACACCAGCCTGAGAAAAAGACTAAGCTGACGAGGAAAGATAATGATGCAGAGAAGAATCAGCAGTCAACGTCTGAGAAACGATTATTGGACATTTTCATTGCAGACTTGGTAGGTAAAATTTGTTTTTTATAGAAGTCTAGTTCAGTTTCGCTTTCAATGAAATTTTCTTTACTTCGGACTTTTCATATCTATAATAACGTATGAAAAGGAAAGCATGTAAAAATATTATTTCTGTCTTTACACTGCCATCATCAAACTGTCTGATTTGTACGGCCCTTATAAATTTTAATGTAAATTTGCCCAGCGAGTTGGCCATCAGAGTGAGAAGTGTAAAGTACAAACTGCACTAGGCGCATATGGCACCCATTTGATGGCTGCATGATATCTGATCTTTCCTACACATGTCTCTGCAAGCTATGTCTATTTCTAGCGTTTGTTGTTGACTTCATGGTTTGTGCTGATTATGAAAATTCTATATCTTTAGGGTTTGGTCGATATTTAAAAAACGGAAATTAATTTTGTTGTCTGGAGAAATGCCTGAGGAACTGGCATCGTCAGATATCAGCACAATGAACAAAAGGCTGGAATAAGATGCCTGTGAGGCTTTTACATTTTGAGGACTCTAGCTTTTAAGTTAAGTCTGTGTGAAGGGTTTGAGGCGGCCCGAGGTCTGACAAGTGTCTTGTTAGTAAAAAAACCCCTTCTATATATATATAGGGTCCTTGACATTGTTGCCTAGCTTCTGATCCAGCAGAAGTTTTCTATTGGAATTTACATAAAATTCAAATGGAGCTGGTATACATTGGTTTCTACTCGTTTTCTCCTACTATGCATGGCAATTGCGCAAGACAGATTTAGACTGACCATAGTTTGTCTAGTCTTTACCACCAGTCAGCCACTGAGTTGGTCAAGATGGCAATTGGTAACGATCTAGGTATACCGCCAGCCCTGGCTGTACTGCCAACTTCATGCCTGTCTCAAGGTTGGTGGTTATATAACGGGGTTTGACTGTATAGCAAATATTGATAAGTGACACAGTTATCATACTAATGGTAAAAATATAAAAGGAGGTCCATATCTGTTAAATCTCACCAAAAATAATTCTCTTGAACAACAGCTAATCACTTTATAATTGCTTGAATTTAGGGATTTAAATGGTTGGGTTGGACCAATGGTCTGGACTAGCTCGAAATACTGTCTTGTACCTCTGCCCTATTAGGTTTATATTTTTACGAATGTCGTAAAATGATATATTAATGTACTGTGAAAAAGTACTTAAAATTTAATGATGTGGAAAATACATCAAGCACATTAGAACTATATATTTGTTATATAACTCAATGATTGTTTTGCTTTTCACAGGATGAGATAAATGAGATACCATTTTTTGACACCACAGTACCTCGGGAAGTGGCTATAAAAATCTTCCAACATCTTGACATGCAGTCCCTCTGTATGTGTTCACAGGTGATCTGTCTATATTACATGCCATTAGAAGTAGTCTGTGAGTGTATGTTTGTCTGTGTTGTGTGTGGGTGTTTGTGTATGAAAGAGAGAGTGTGAGAGAGCGAGAGAGAGAGAGAGAGAGCGAGAGAGAGAGAGA